TAAGGGTTAAATCACACTTGTGCATTGTGTAAATATACACATTACTGCTAGTGGTGCACCGAAATGAACATTCTGGTGCCGAAACCGAAAATTCAGAATGCATGGGGCCGAAAACAGAACTGTGGGGGTGGGGAGGCTTTTTTTTGGCCAATCAGTGATCACATGAATAGTAGTAAACAAGATGTCACTTCCTGACAGCATTGCTTACGTGTAAAATCTGTGAATGATCACAGAGGTCACATGGTACAAGGCTATTCACAACAGCCTTGTACCATGTGACAAGCTGTGACCAATCACAGCTCACACAGTAGTTCTCAATGGCATCAAGAATGCAGCCAGAGAGAAGGAGAAAGTATTGCTTTTACAGCCTTTATGGGTGTAAAAGCATCCAGTGTAAAAAAAAAGAAAAAAAAAATATCTTCATCCCCCACAAGTAGTACAGTGTCACTATGGTGACACTGTACTGCTAGGGTGACAGTGTTAAAAAAAAAAAAAAAACATAAATAATACAAAGAAATAAAATAAACATTTTTAAAAAAATTTGAAAAATTATACTTTTGGTTATAAACGAATTTGGTATATTTTTGTTTTTACTAAAAAGATAGCTGAATACATTTTGGCCAAGATTTATGAAGAAAGATTATTTGCAAAATTTTATAAGAAAAACACTTTTTTTTCAAAATTTTTGGACTTTTTCATTTATATAGCAAAAAATAAAAATCCCAGTGGTGAATAAATACCACCAAAATAAAGTTTTATCTGTCTCAAAAAAAATGCTAAAAAATACATATGGGTACAGTGTTGCATGACCGTACAATTGTCATTCAAAGTGTGATAGCACTGAAAGCTGAAAAATTGGCCTGGACAGGAAGGGGGGTGAAAGTGGCCGGATTTGAATTGGTTAATGTACTATAGTGCACACAAACCGAATAGAATATCCCATTTTTTTGGTCAAATTAAAAGACGATGTTACACCAAGTAAATAGATAATGAATATGTCATGCTTTAAAATGCATACACCTGTGGAATTGCGGTAAACTACAATACATTAAATTATCAATAGGCAATGCTTTAAAAGCCTTTACAGGTTACCAGTTTAGAGTTAAACTGGAGGTCAGGTGCTAGAATTATTGCTCTCACTCTGACATTCACCACTATATCTCACATGTGATGTGATCAGCTTACATATTTCTACGGGACCTACGTTGCAGGGAAATAGGGGCGCTTCAAATTTTTTAATTTTATTTATTTATATTGCCTCTGATTTTTTTGGAATCAACTTTATTGCTATCACAAGAGAAGAACACCCCTTGTGATAGCATGCGCAGTGACAGGTACTCTTTTCGAAGAGATCTGGGGTCTATTAGACCTCATATCTCTCCTCTGCCCTCAAAAGCATCTGATCAAACCGAACACTGGCGGGTGGCAGAAGGGGGGGGGGGGGGGGGGGGGTTGTCTGGGGGGGGGGGAACTGTAGTGCCGCTTTGATCACTTCTAAAGAAAAGCCCATCGCCGGCTGCAAATTTTGATACTAGGATTGTGGCTGCAGCTGCATAAATCCTGGTATCACAATTTCCTGATGAGGACATATATGCCCTTTCTGGGTCCATCTGGGAGAACAAAAAGGGTATCAGTCTTCCTGAAAGAAACAGTGGCTAAGGGATAGACTTGCACAGCCTTCCACATCTGATCCATAGAAATAAATTTCCTTTTGATGAAGTGATACAGAGGGATGGGAGATACATTTCCAGATTAGGGTAGAAGGTACATACTACTTTGGGAAGAAAAGAAGTTGTGGGATGCAATACCACCTTGCCATTGTGCAATACCTAAAAGGGTTCCTTCCAGGATAAAGCCCCGCCCCCCACTGTGACACTCACCTAGCTAGTACAAAGGGATATATCTCTGACAGGTTCAAACAGGAACTTCTGAACTGCCAAAAGAACCACATTCAAATACTACGGAGTAAAAGAGGATTGTAATTTTTTTTTTTTTAATTTTATAGCAACAGGACATAACATTTTTATTAACCACTTGCCAACCGCCCTGTAGCAGTTTTACTGCTACAGGGCAGCCGCTCTGTGCAAAATCACATATATATACACGTGTTTTTACATTTCCCGATAGCGGGCATGCATGCTGTCCGAACCGCGCTGTCATTGGCTCCTGTAGGTGTCAGTCACCGGGTCCCGGCCTGTGATTCATGGCTGGGGATCGGTGATTGGCAAGGCAGCAGACAGGAGAGGGATCTGTGAGTGCAAACATCACAGATCTCTCTCCTGTTAGCCGGGACGTGTTGGTTTTGATCTCTCTGCGCTCTCTGCAAAGCAGGGAGATAAAAGCCAGCTCATCCACTAGTAAAACACAACAAAGTACACACTAATGAAACCCTCTAACACACAATTAACCCTTTGATTGCCTCAGTGTCATTTGTACAGTGTCAGTGCTTTTTATTAGCACTGATCACTATATTCATGTCACTGGAGAGGTCAGTGGCAGTTAGTTAGTGCCCACCCAGTGTTAGCGAGTCTCATATTTCCCTCCGTACAATCACAGTCCTGCTATAAATCACTGATCACCCCCATTACCAGTATAAAAAAAAAATAAATACAAATTTCAGTATATATACACACCGCCATTTGTAGACGCTGTAACTATCATGCAAACCAGTTAATATACACTTATTGGGATTTTTTTATTTACCAAAGACATGTACAGAATACATTTTGGCCTAAATTTATGAATAATTTTTTTATTGGATGTGTTTTATAGCAAAAAGTAAAAAATATTTTAAAAACATTTTCAGTGTTTTTTGATTTATAGCGCAAAAAAAAAAAAAAAAAAAACCCGGTGGTGATCAAATACCACCAAAAGAAAGCTCTATTTGTGTGGAAAAAAAAAAAAAGATATAAATTCTATTTGTGTACGGTGCTGCATGACCATGCAGTTGTCCGTTAAAGTACCACCGCGCGGTATAGCAAAAAAATTGCCTGGTCATAGAGGGGGGTAAATCTCCTGGAGGGCAAGTGGTTAACTTACATAGGTCATTCAAACTCCACATATTGGTGGAGTAACACTTCCTCTATAGTAATTCTTCTTTTTTTCATTGCAGGAAAATAAAGCATTCCAAACAGAAGCAATGTGCCGTCATTGAGTTCTTGACGAAGGAGGGGTACAATTGTCCGCCATCCATAGAAGGCTACAGAATTTTTATGGAGTTGACACCATTGACAGAAGCAATGTGCACAGATGGATGAAGAAGCTTCAATGGTGTCATTTCCATAAACATTCTGTAGCCTTCTGTGGATGGCACCCCTCCTTCCTCAAGAGCAGTGGTCTCCAAACTGCAGCCCGAGGGCAAGATGCGGCCCTTTGCTTGCCTTTATCCGGCCCTTGGAACACTATTCCTCTCACTGATACAAGACACCATTCTGCCAAATGACATCAATGGACCACCACATCTCCCACTGATACCAACAATGGAACAGTATTCCTCTCACTGACAGCAATTATGGGGCACTAGTCCTCCCACCGACGTCAATGATGGGGCACTCTTCATGCAAATGATACCAATTATGGGGCACAATTCCTGTCCCATATACCAAATGTGGCAATGTTTACTACCACTGATTCAAGGAAAATGTCCACTGCCGCTGGCTACAGTCTGGCCCCTCTAAAGTCTGAAAGACAATAAAGTTGTTTACAAAGTTTGGAGAGACCCCTACTCAAAAGAGAACACATTGCTTCTGCTTGGAATCCATTATTTATCTGCAATGAAAAAAAAAAAAAAAAAAAAAAAAAAAAAGAAGAGTAGTTACTATAGCGCAGGGACTCCAAACTTTTCAAACAAAGGGCCAGGTTACTGTCCTTCAGAAGTTACGGGGGCCAGATTGTGGCCAGTGGGGGTAGAAAATGTCCCGGGCCTAGCATCCATGAGAATAAACATGACCTCAGGCTTGGTGTTCAGTAGGAGTGCCCCATCATTGGTATTAGTGGGAGGAATAGTGCCCACCATTGGCATCAGTTAAAGAATGGTGTCCCATTGTAGTGTCAGTAGAAGGAATAGTGCCCAATCATTGATACTAGTGGGAGAAATAGTGCCCCATAATTAGTGTCAGTGGCAGGAATTATGCCCCATTGTTGATGTCAGTGGGAGGAATAGTGCACCATTGTTGATGTCAGTAAGAGGAATAGTGCCCCATCAATGATACTAGTGGAGAAATAGTGCACCATTGTTGATGTCAGTGGGAGGAATAGCGCTCCATCAATGAGACTATTGGAAGGATTAGTGCCCCATAATTAGTGTCAGTGGCAGGAATTATGAACCACTGTAGATGTCAATGTGAGGAATAGTGCCCCATCACTGGTATCAGTGGAAGAATAGTGCCCCGTTGTTTGTGTTAGTGGGAGGAATAGTGCCCCATTGTTGTTGTCAGTGGGAGGAATTGTGCCCCATCAATGATACTACTGGGAGGAATAGTGTCCCATTCATTAGTGTCAATGGCTGGAATTATTCCACACTGTTGAGGTCAGTGGGTGGAATAGTGTCCCATCACTGATACAAGTGGGAGGAACAGTGGCTCATATCATTGGGAGGAAAAGTGCCCCATAAAGGCAAGCAAAAGGCTGCAGCCGGCTACAGTTTGGAGACCACTGCTATAGAGGAACAGTTAGTCTACCAACATTTGAAATTTGCACAACCTATGTAAGTTAATAAAAAAAAGTTATGCCAACTTTTGCATTACTTAGCAGAGCCCTCAAATTTTAATATGGGAAAAAGGTGAGCAGGCTCCCTTCAGTGCACAATTACGGATAGGAAACACACTCTCAAGAGCATTGATTAGAGTGAGCAGATGGATTATCTTATCAGTGTGCAGCATGATAGGAAATATGCCAGGAAAAAGGTAGCAAATGAATATGAAGCACAATATGAAGCTACAAAGGGGAGGCAAAAGCTGTGGAGAACATGGCAGCTAATGAAAATTTTTGATAAAAGTAACTCACCATGCAACAACAGAGCTTATTTTTCTACTACTTATAAAGCTGCATCTAGGCCATGCACCAGGTAAGTACTTTAAGAAGGAAAGAGTAGTAGAAGAGTTCAAACAACTTACTTTCAGGACAGTGGCTTTGCTCTCTCCAGTGGCAACAAACACCACAGTCTTAGCTGCATTGATAACCGGGAGAGTGAGAGTAATTCTCTGCGGAGGCGGCTTGGGAGAGTCGTGGATCGGAGCCACAATCTGATCTGTTACCTGCAAGGAAAGTGGAAAATGAAAAAGTGCGCTAGTCATTCAGAAAGTGATGTCAGAAAAATGACAAAAACTTCTGAAATACTTGTTCCTGTACTGAGGAAATATGAAAACTATGATTACCAAATATTCTGAAATTACTAAGTGCCTGGCTGTCTGGCTGAAGCAGCAACAACGCGCAAAAAGACACTTTTTGACTTACTTATGATTTTGGTTGCTGCAGGCAGTGATACAAAGTACTGAAGCCAATTAAATTAGACAATTAAAGTGATTCGTTCACTCTGCCAGCAAATGAGCTTACACTCTAATGTACAAAGGAGTAATGCAGGCTCACCTAGTACAGACCTGAAGCTTACACTTGTATATACAGACATGCATATTCTCATATTTCTACTTGGTATTTTCCTCTACCCCATATTGGGCCTGGCTACCCAGATAAAAAACTCACTCAGATACAAGAAGAATAGAGAGATGTACAAAGGGGTTGACTTACTAAAACTAGAGAGCACAAATATGGAACAGCTATGCATAGAAACCAATCAGCTTCCAGGTTATACTGTCAAAGCTTAATTGAACAAGCTGAGGTTAGCAGCCGATTGGCTACCATGCACAGATGCACCAAATTGTGCACGTTCCAATTTTAGTCAATCAACCCCATAGCGTTTGAGGGAATGCAAAGCCAGGACCATAACAAGACAGCGATGTTATGCAATGATCCCACCATGGGGCCCTTGCCATAGTAACATGATGGTGACACTTACTTGTAACAAGGGGTGTCCTGGAAACAGGGATGCTGTGTGTCCATCTGGGCCCAATCCTAAAATCAGCATGTCAAAGGTGGGAAGATCATTGCCTGGGAAGATCTAGAAGAAACAAATAATATCCAAAAAAAAAAACACCAAATATGAGAGACAATACCAAACTCACAATGCTAGAGATGACCATCAGCCTGAACCACTCAGGATATGAGCATACACTTCTACGATGGATCTACTGTAGTGTGTGTGATAGATATATACATACACACACATAGATATATATATATATATATATAGATATATATATATAGATATACATACACATTACAGTACAACAGAGCTAGTGTAGATAGAAGTGGGTGCTCATATACCAAATGGTTCATGCTAATGGTCCTCTCTGGCAATATATATTGTAAAGTTTATGGTGTCTGTATTACAGGTTATACCTGATGCAAAGAAGACTCCATATACAGAAGACTGGAATACAGAGACATATACTACATGTCTGCACACATCATATAAGGCAGTGGATGCCACATACATGAAAGAAATATACCTATACCCCAGAGTACCCAATACTCCACATAATACCAACCAATACACTATATAAAGTATAGAGCATTTTATCTTCACATGTAATATGTAAACTGTCAATGCACAGAGCCCTCACAAACAGTCAGCAACATAAACCCTACATAGGGAGTACAGAGACACATAAACCCATATTGCACAGCTGGATTCTCACCTCTCGCAGCTTCTTGGTATAGTCGGCTGCTGCATCTTCCACAGACAGAGACGGGTCAATGGTGATGAACTGAGATTCTGAAAGTATTCCATGAGGAACAAGCTGACGCTGGGACAAAGAAAAAAAAAGAAAGGAAACTGAATATGGTTATGTTGTTTCTAAAGAAATTATGCTAGAGAACCACAAACCCCTCCATATTCTGGTACCTGATGGCCAATGTTCTTCCTTCCTTGCTGTGGTCTAAGCCAATAACACGAGTTGGCAATAACTAAAACCACGAGAGGAGGAAGATGATAGACTGGAGCCTCTATGATTGTGGTTGGCTGTGGTTGTGCTCTAAGAAATGGCTTGTTCTATCCCCTGCCTGACACTGGCAACCTTTAATCTGCTCCAGGCACAGACGACAATTAAACATGTGGCTGCAAACCTGGAATGTGAGGATACACACATCAATCTGCCTATTACCCTGCATTCTTCCTTATGGATCTGGGCTTGCTCTGTGCTTTGTTATAGCAATCCTTTAATAAACACGGCTTACACCAAGGAAACCAAAATTTATATTATATATATATATATATATATATATATACACACACACACACACACACACACACACACACACACACACACACACACACACACATACATACATATATACACACACAGAACTATATGCTTTGTCACCCAAGAAGAAAACCTAAAGAGGAACTCCAGGCACACAAGTAATACACAGCTGAAATACATATATGTAAACAGTTTTACAAAAGATTTAGCTTTACGTTATCCTTGAGATTCACACAGCGTTATTCATTTAGGGTTGGTATATTCCAAGAAACAATTTTGGGTTGTCACCAGAACAAGAATAGAGGGGAAAATCTTCCAATAGGGAAAGTAGTTGGTGAAGATTAAAAGTAAAAAAAAAAAAAAAAAAAAAGTTCTGCCTTCAGTTCTACTTCAAACCTTTTGCTTCCACACACCCTGGCAACGCTGTAGCCTTCCCTGCCATGTTTTCTGGGCTCTGAGCTCCGATTGGTGGACCTGGGAACAGCACAGTGCCTGCCACTGGGTAGAGTAGAGGTAGATCAGCGAACATCCATTCACTGATCTCCATTACCTACTAAGAACCCAGAAGCAAATTTGTACACTCTGTTTCTGGTGTCAATAATCCCTGACTGGACTGGTCAAGGAAGAAGTGCAATTTGCACTTCATTGCAATACAAGTTTAAGATGACCAACTCTCAAGTAATCACTCTCTGACCAGTCCTTACTCTAATTCGGCAGAATGCAAAATACTTGCTTATAGTATACTCCAGTGAATATAATGGCTATATGGTATTAGGGCAGCACAGTGGCTAAGTGGTTAGCACTTCCACCTGGCAGTACTAGTGTCATTGGTTCAAATACCAACCACGGCGCCACCTGCCTGGAGTTTGCATGTTCTCCCTGCGTGGGTTTCCTCTGGGTACTCCAGTTTCCTCCCACACTCCAAAGACATGCTGGTAGGTTAATTGGATCCTGTCTAAATTGGCCCTAGTATGTGTATGAATGAATGAGTTAAGGACCTTATATTGTATGCCCCTTGAGGGTTAGGGACTAATGTGAATGTACAATATATGTATGTAAAGCGCTGCGTAAATTGATGGTGCTATATAAGTACCTGAAATAAATGAATACATATGGGGCAAATAAACACACTTGTAGGAGAGCTACAGATTCAGGTCTGGTTTCTGACCTGGACTATGCAACTGCATCTTGGCCAACTGTGGCTCTCCTACAACTGTCTATCTGCCCCATAGTGACACTATACCTACTGAAGTAGGACACAAGCAAGTACTTTGAAGGGTAGAAGAGGGACTGGGCAGAGGGGGATTACTTTGACGCAGTTGGCCAGCTTAAACATGTATTGCAATGTATGTGAACAGAAAATCCCTGTTTTATGCAAAGTTGTCTATAAAAAGAGTATACATCGTTGTGTAGCGAGTTCATTCAGAATTTTTAGTGTTAACGTGATCACACTCCTCCAGCACCTGATGGGATATATACAGGAGAAAAACTCAAAAAACTAGAATATCGTGCAAAAGTTCATTTATTTCAGTGCAGCAACTTAAAAGGTGAAACTAATATATGAGATAGACTCATTACATGCAAAGCAAGATAGTTCAAGCCGTGATTTGTCATAATTGTGATGATTATGGCTTACAGCTCATGAAAACCCCAAATCCACAATCTCATAAAATGAGAATATTGTGAAAAGGTGCAATACTCTCGGCTCAAAGTGTCCCACTCTAATCAGCTAACTACGCCATAACACCTGCAAAGGGTTCCTGAGCCTTTAAAATGGTCTCTCAGTCTGGTTCATTGGAATCACAATCATGGGAAAGACTGCTGACCTGACAGTTGTGCAGAAAACCATCATGGACACCCTCCATAAGGAGGGAAAGCCTCAAAAAGGTAATTGCAAAAGAAGTTGGATGTTCCCAAAGTGCTGTATCAAAGCACATTAATAGAAAGTTATGTGGAAGGGAAAAGTGTGGAATAAAAAAGGTGCACAAGCAGCAGGGATGACCACAGCCTGGAGTGGATTGTCAGGAAAAGGCCATTCAAAAGTGTTGGGGATTTTCACAAGGAGTGGACTGAGGCTGGAGTCAGTGCATCAAGAGCCACCACACACAGATGGATCCTGGACATGGGCTTCAAATGTCGTATTCCTCTTGTCAAGCCACTCCTGAACAACAAACGTCAGAAGCGCCCTACCTGGGCTAAAGAAAAACAGACCTGGTCTGTTGCTTAGTGGTCCAAAGTCCTCTTTTCTGATGAGAGCAACTTTTGCATCTCATTTGGAAACCAAGGACCCAGAGTATGGAGGAAGAATGGAGAGACACACACTGCAAGATGCTTGAAGTCCAGTGTGAAGTTTCCACAGTCTGTGTTGATTTGGGGAGCCATGTCATCTGCTGGTGTTGGTCCACTGTGCTTCATTAAGTCCAGGGTCAACGCAGCCGTCTACCAGGAGATTTTGGAGCACTTCATGCTTCCTTCCGCAGACGAGCTTTATGGGGATGCTGACTTCATTTTCCAGCAGGACTTGGCACCTGCCCACACTGCCAAAAGCACCAAAACCTGGTTCAATGACCGTGGGATTACTGTGCTTGATTGGCCAGCAAACTCGCCTGACCTGAACCCCATAGAGAACCTTTGGGGCATTGCCAAGAGAAAGATGAGAGACATGAGACCAAACAACGCAGAAGAGCTGAAGGCCGCTATTGAAGCATCCTGGTCTTCCATAACACCTCAACAGTGCCACAGGCTGATAGCTTCCATGCCACGCCGCATTGAGGCAGTAATTACATAAGGGGCCCAAACCAAGTACTGAGTACATATGCATGCTTATACTTTTCAGAGGTCTGATATTGTTCTATGTACAATCCTTGTTTTATTGAATGCATGTAATATTCTAATTTTCTGAGATTGTGGATTTGGGGTTTTCATGAGCTGTAAGTCATAATCATCACAATGATGACAAATCACGGCTTGAACTATCTTGCTTTGCATGTAATGAGTCTATCTCATATATTAGTTTCACCTTTTAAATTGCATTACTGAAATAAATGAACTTTTGCACGATATTTTTTGAGTTTCACCTGTGTGTGTGTAATATATATATATATATATATATATATATATATATATATATATATATATATATATATATATATATACAGTCATGGCCGAAATTGTTGGCACCCTTGATATTTCTCCAGGAAATCATGTATTTCTCACGAAACGTATTGCATTAACACATGTTTTGCTATACACATGTTTATTCCCTTTGTGTGTATTGGGACAAAACAAAAAAAGGGAGGAAAGAAAGCAAATTCGACATAATGTCACACAAACCTCCAAAAATGGGCTGGACAAAAGTATTGGCACCCTTTCACAACTGCGGATAAATAAGAATGTTACAAGCATGTGATGCTGCTGTAAACTCACCTGGGGCAAGTAACAGGTGTGGGCAATATAGAAATCACACCTGAAAGCAGATAAAAAGGAGAGACGTTCACTTAACCTTTGCATTGTGTGTCTGTCTGTGCCACACTAAGCATGGACAACAGAAAGAGGAGACGAGAACTGTCTGAGGACCTGAGAACCAAAATTGTGGCAAAATATCAACAATCTCAAGGTTACAAGTCCATCTCCAGAGAACTAGATTTGCCTTTGTCCACAGTGCGCAACATTATCAAGAAGTTTGCAACCCATGGCACTGTAGCTAATCTCCCTGGTCGTGGACGGATGAGGAAAATTGATGAAAGATTGCAACGCAGAATAGTCCGGATGGTGGATAAGCAGCCCCAAACATGTTCCAAAGACATTCAAGCTGTCCTGCAGGCTCAGGGAGCATCAGTGTCAGCGCGAACTATCCGTCGACATTTAAATGAAATGAAACGCTATGGCAGGAGACCCAGGAGGACCCCACTGCTGACACAGAGACATAAAAAAGCAAGACTACAGTTTGCCAAAATGTACTTGAGTAAGCCAAAAGCCTTCTGGGAAAACGTCTTGTGGACAGATGAGACCAAGATAGAGCTTTTCGGTAAAGCACATCATTCTACTGTTTACCGAAAACGGAATGAGGCCTACAAAGAACAAAACACAGTACCTACGGTAAAATATGGTGGAGGTTCAATGATGTTTTGGGGTTGTTTTGCTGCCTCTGGCACTGGGTGCCTTGACTGTGTGCAAGGCATCATGAAATCTGAGGATTACCAAAGGATTTTGGGTCGCACTGTAGGGCCCAGTGTCAGAAAGCTGGGTTTGCGTCCAAGATCCTGGGTCTTCCAGCAGGACAATGACCCCAAACATACGTCAAAAAGCACTCAGAAATGGATGGCAAAGAAGCGCTGGAGAGTTCTGAAGTGGCCAGCAATGAGCCCAGATCTAAATCCCATTGAACACCTGTGGAGAGATCTTAAAATTGCTGTTGGGAAAAGGTGTCCTTCCAATAAGAGAGACCTGGAGCTGTTTGCAAAGGAAGAGTGGTCCAAAATTCCGGGTGAGAGGTGTCAGAAGCTTATTGATGGTTATAGGAAGCGACTGATTTCAGTTATGTT